TTTCTTACGCTCTACCTCAAACCTGAGGTGTCGCGTTAAAAGCAGACTTTTATCGTACGAAAACCACGTCCGCTAAAGGACGTTGCCAGCTGCAAGTAGCAGGAGGCAAAAGCGGGCAAAGGAAAAAGTAAAGGCAAAGCAAAAGTTAATCCAAAGCAAAAGTTTTTGAAAACAGTGATGGTCCCCAAGGACCATCATATTCAAACAGAACATCACCTATTTATAAGCATATTTTCTCCTTTTTTTTCTTTTTTTTTTTTGAAATTTTAGGATTGTTACAAGTAAGGTTATGAAATAAAGCAAAGCTTTCATCTACCGCATTAAAAAACCACTAATGATTTCAAAAAAAGGGTAGAAGTGTGTCATCTTCACTAAATTACCCAAAAACAAAAAAACAAAAACAAAATTTTAAAAGGAAAAGAAGGCCCTCCTTGAAAGAAAGACCTATGTGATCTTTTACCGAGGAATACATTTTTTTTTTTCTTCAACCCTTTTTTTTTGGCAAATGATCAGTTACATGTGGTCTTTATTATAATGAGATAAATTTCAAAATAAAATCAACATAACAATAAAACCAATATCTTAACAACTTGATGCCATTGAAACAACTATGCACTAGGCTTGAGAATAAAAGATAAGATTGCAAGAAACAAAAGAAGAGTGACGGATATTACCTCAACCGGGCTTATTACACCCCATACTGAGTCACCACCATTCGATAGCGCGGGATCCACAGTCTAGCTTCAATCTTCAATCTCCAATTGCGAAAGCAAATTTCGGCGAAGCCACACTAATGAAACATGAACCCATTTGATCACAAACTGAAACCCTAGATGAATTCTTTTAGCAACTTAGTTTGAGAGAGATGGATTCTCTTTTTTCTAAACCCTAAAACCCGTAGCCATAAATCCATATTTGAGAGATAGGAGAGAGAATAACTCCATAACCTAAACCTCTAGGTTCTTATACAATGTGGGAGAGAGAGATCTAACATGAGAGAGAGAAACTTTCTTAAGAGAGAGATAGAAAGATAAGGTATAGAGATTTTGGGTAGAGACAATCTCTTTTTTATAAGCTTGAACAAGATTAGGGTTTTTTAAGGTTTTCCTTGGCTTGCCTCTTATTGTGAGATTGAATATAGATCGTCAATCAAAGGTGACTTGTGGGTTGAGAGATCTGAGTCATCCATTCCATAGATGGGCCGTCAATATTATGGAAGGTGCATGGATCATTATTCCCCTTTCCTTAACCATTTTCCCATAAATAGAAATTAGATAAATTAAATCTAATTAAAATATAATGCATTCTATAATATTTCGTAAAATATTCCAAAGATGTATCAAGTCAATATACACTTTCAATATTTGGTTAATATATGGCCAAAATATTTCATATCTTATTTGACCACATGCCATAACATAATATTACCAAAACATGAAATAACTTAAACTTCAAGAAAGAATCCAATGGGTGGGGCATGCCACCCATGTGTGGCATATGTGGGCCCCACCCACTTGACACATGGTGGGCCCATGTGCACTATGGGCCCCTCCATGATATTTTATATAATTTTAAATTATAAAAAAAAATCTAAAATATTATTTGAATTTTATAATTTTGTAAAATCAATATCTTTATTTTTATAAGTAAAAAAACAATTATAAATAAAATATCAAATGACTCATAAAAATTCAAATAAAAATTCGAAAATAATTTATATCATAAAACAAACATAATTCAATTAACTTGCTGGAAAATTGATCCATATAGTTAAGGAATTTAATCTGCAATCATGAGGCACTCCACTTTCAACTGTAGACTACCACGCGTGCATTATCGAACCGACTCAGTGTTTCTCATGACCCACTGTCCAAACAGAAGCTCATTAGCAGGTCACAAAGATTTGCGGATGAGCCAAAGGGCGTAATCTCAGTCTGTGGATTACAGGTCCTCCTTTAGAGATAAGTCAAGGTCACCAAGACCTTATGCGACTACAGCTCTATGGCGCATATGGGTATCTCTCGCACATGCATACATTTCATCCTTAAAGGTGGATTTCTGGCTTTCTCGAATGATCTATCGATATGCATGCCATGTGATGGTACATAGATGAGGTTTTGGCCCTTGTTTCTGTAGGCCACTATCATACACAAGTGTCACACAGTCCCTTGGCTCACTCATCCGGGCATGTTCTCCGACCTCATCAAGGGCTAACCCATAAACCCTCATCGTTTTGTTCTTTATGTCCACGTAACATGAGTTTTTTCCAATCGATTGGCCTAGATCTTTAAGCATAGATCGATATCAGTAAACCATCTTTTGTTTAGTATGATCCACAAGGACTACATTCCCACTAAGTTCATGTTTCATTATATCATTTCATTTTACAAGCACTCATAAGGCTTTTAAAAGCCACGTAAACGCAACACGCCTAATATACAAAACTTATATCATTGGTCCTTAATGGTTCTTCCACGGTTAACGGCTCACAATTAATTGATTTTGACCTCTTAAAACTTGTGTGTTGAGTGACTTTTGGATATGAATCGAATGAAGGTGAGGCGTGAGGTAAGGTGAAAAAGAACCGCTCAAGAGATAGAGATGGTCGCTCACGCCACGAGATTTCTTGCCCATCCACTAATTAAAGTTGCAACGGAATTAGCACCCCAAGGAACCACGTATTTCGTGCACGCGCCGGAGTAGCGTGTGCTGACTGCCGAAAGATTTTCAACGTAGGCGTTGGCCTTTATTTTGTACAGATGGCCGTGGACTTTCCTCTCCCTTTTTATTTCATTACTTTTTTTTTTTTTTTTGCAAAAGTATAAAAAAAAGGGGTCGAAACTCTTTACGGGTATTTGGAAAGCTTTCCATATTCCCCTTACAACATATAAGTTTTATGTTTCCCTTACCATTCAGCCATCTATTTTTTATCAAGAGAGTTATTCACCATTTGATTTTAGATCCGATGTCTCAAAGTATTTTATTTTTAGTTTTTTTAATATAATTTTTTTGAATATGAAATTTGGTACGTGTCATCTTCTTATTGGAGCGCACCTATAAAAAATATTAAAAATAACTTTTCGACAAAAAATAATGACCAAAATACCTCTTGCAACTTTCAGGGGTACTTTGATTATTTTATTTTATTGAAAATGTTTTTTATATATTTTTCGTTAATGCGAGTTTAATATAGGAATGGACGTCCAAAATTTGGTGTCAAAATAATTTATCAAAAAAATATTAAAAATAAAAAAGTATAGAGATGTGATATTGTGATTGAGACAATCTTAGCCCTCCATTAAAAAATGAACGGTTGGATAAAAGGGAACATATAACTTCTACGATGAAGGGAGAATATAAAAAGCTTTCCCATTACTAAAGGGGTTAAAATATTATAAATTGTACTTTACATTATCCTTTTAAACATCTACGTCAACCAGATACGTCCTAAATAAATTATTAAAAAATTCTGCCTCTATTTGGTGTTGGGAAGCTTGGTCAATTATGGGTACTTTGATAATTGGCTTTGATAATTTACCCTTAATGAGGCATTAACCGAATGATAATTGAGGGTAAAATTGTCAAAGTATACCTAAACACAAAAGGAAATTACCCAAAATCATGATCATTATGTAAACATTTGAGTTTTCTCCAAAAGGAAATTACCAAAACACATATTTTTATGGAATGATTTTAAGGGGTTTCAACCTTTGTTTTTTTTTAGTAATTTCCTTTTGTGTTTTGGGGGATTTTGATCAAAATAATGATCATGAAAATAATGATCTTTTGACCCTTTTAATAAAAAAAATTTGAGTTTTTAGTAAAAATTTGATGACAGACACCCTTAGCTATCAGATATGAAATTTGATAGTTTGAATTTTGAAGTATGTGAGATAGTTCAAGAAAGTTTATTTTGAACTTTATGCACATCTAATTTTAATAATAATTGTAACTTCTTTATATCAAATAAATTTGTTTCATATAGGCTTAACCACATTTCTACCGCATGCAATTCCAAAGTATAAAGCATTCATTTTAAAAATGAATGCAAAAATAGGTGGTCCATCTACAAATAATTGAAACAAACAGTACAATGTTTTTTTCATAAAATCATTATTATTTTTTCTTAGTATATATATATATATATATATATATATACATATATATATATAAAAGTCTTCCCGACGCTTCAAGGCGAAAAGCAACAGTAATCTAGCCGCACCACCATCCACCGTCCGTTCAAATTAATTCAAAATAACGGTTGAGATATGCTCCAAAACCCGGCTGTGATGGACTTAAAAGCTTCAAACCTATCGAAATTTCGCCTTCTACCCTCCTCTGCTCTGCTAACCGCCCTTCTCTCTCCTTCACTATCTCTACGGCTTTGCGGAGGTCCCCTCTCTCATCTCTCTACGCTGCTGCCCTCACTCTCTCTGCGCTGCTGCCCTCACGCAGTCTCATCGCTCGCCCCCTTCTCTCAAGGCCTTTCTCTCTCACCACCTGCTTTAGAGAGAGAAGAAACCTTGTTCATGGAAGAAACCCAACATGTTTTAGTTCTCTCTATATTACGATTTTTGCATATCATTTTTCCTTTCGCCATTGATATATGGAATGCGAGCTATCCATCTCTCAGCCTGCATTAATTCAGTTTGTATCATTTTTAAGCTTGGTATGGATTTTTTTGTGTGCCATTTTACCCAATTTTTTTCTGGTTAGTTCTCTCTCTATTACAATTTCGCATATCATTTTTCCTTTCACCATTGATACATAGAACGCGAGCTGTCCATCACTGAGCCTGCATTAATTCAGTTTGTATCATTTTTAGGCTTGGTATGGATTTTTTGTTGTGCCCTTTTACCCAATTTTTCTTCTGAATTCAATCACAAAAACAGAGGAACAATGGTTCAGTTGGATTTTATTACTTTCTTTTATCATCGATTCTGAAAGAAAACTGAATTAGATGGCTATAAATGGGTTTCACTGTGCAATTTTTATTGTTTGGATCTATAACTTGAAGAAGTTGCAATGAATACAGCTATATGCTCTAATAGAAAAAATAATGCCTGACTTTCAATTGAAATTTTAATACAATTATTTGATTTTATGTCATGCTTTTATTCTCTATTTCACAATGCAACTTTTTCTTTTATTTTTTAAACAAATTGGGGTTCAATATTCATTTCCCTGTTCTGTGATTTTTTTTGTTGGAAATTTGAATTTGGTGATGACCAAGTAAAATGCGTCCATTGATAATTCAATACCTTTAAAAATGTTGCTAATTCAATACCTTTAAAAAATGTTGGTAATACTATTCAGCAACTAAAAGAGGAATTATTTGAAGCACGAACCTTAGCAGCTGGAGTAGTTGGAGCTACTAGAAGAACACTGCTGATGATGAACATAGAAGCCAACCTAAAGATTGAGGTACTTAATAGGGAACTCAAAGAGAAAGATCGAATAATGAAACTCCTAGCAAAGTTAGCCAATGCTCTTTCAAGTAAAGAATGTGACTCACAGAGAAAGCTATAAGCATTTCGTGATGAAAGCGCACAAAAACTACTTGCTTGTCAAGAAGAAATAAATAAGATGAATGTGATGTAATGATGATGAAAGATATTGAAGAAATTTTTTACCAGGAAGTGAAAGAACCTGTCGAGGAGTTAAAGGAGAAAGTAAGTGAAATGCAAAGCTTAGAAGAGCTAAACAATGTTCTTTTAAGAAAGGAAAGAGAAGCAAATGACGAGCTGCAAGCAGCTCGTAAAGCCGCAGTTGAGGTATAGTTTTGGAAAAATCGAACCACCAAATTAAGATTTATATGTTTTAAAAGACAACAATAGACTGGTATACCTTTAATTACACAGGCATATTTTGGAGGACCCACTTTTCTTCATGATTTCTTTCGATGTATAACCATATTTTGTCAAATTTTATTTTCTGATGGTTGTAACTTCTGAAGCTGACATATATCCATTCTTACAGTATTTTGAGAAGAAACCAAATAATCGTTCATTTATAGTTGTGAAGAGAATGGGGGTCTTTGATGAGCAGCCATTTACTTGTGCTGTAAAAGCAAGCTTCCAAATGAAGAATGGGATTTGAGGGCATCAGAGTTATGCTCCTTATGGGAAGAACGCACAAGAAACCCATCTTGGCATCCTTTCAAGACAGTTACTATTGAGAGCATGGACAGAGTATGTAACTCTGAATTTTGTGATTTTTTTCAACTGCATATGAGTGATTGTAGGTATTACAAAATGTGCACATCTCCATATATGCTTTCAACTGCAACATATTGACCTATTAGATGTGGGTTAACTTCCCATATGTGCATCTTCTTAAATTCTTGATCTTATTGAGACATTAATGAATTCCTTTTAGTTTGTTTTATATCATGCTTCTGATTTCATGGAAAATTCTGGTGATGGTGCAGGAGGTCATTGATGAAAATGATGACAAGTTGAGAGAACTCAGAGACGAATATGGGGATGAAGTTTTCAAGGATGTGGAGACCGCAATGCTTCAACTCAATGAATACAATCCAAGTGGAAAATACCATGTTCCTATTCTCTGGAGTTTCAAAGAAGTAACGCAGGCCACATTGGAAGAGGTAATTCATCATTTGGTGAATCAAATCAAGAACAAAAAGAGGAAGACATGGCATAGATAGTAGTGTTTGTGAAGGGTATCGACTGTTAGATATGTCAGGTTTTATTTATTGACCTAGATTTTGGCCCACCTTGGAGATGCTCATTGTTTTTAAAACAACATCTGCTGTCAAAGAATTAAAAGTTTAATGTTATCAAATTACACTTGAGGAATCGGCCTGCCGGACAAAGTTCAGCAAAGATGAAAGACTATATAACACACTATACAGAGAAAATAAACCAATATGATGCAAGTGAACTTATGCAGCAAGTTTTAGGAAACAATTAGTTCCAGTTTATCCATGTATTGTCTGTTGTCTGGAAAATTGAGGATTCAAGATATTCCAATTCTAACTCAACGAACCACGTGTTTGGGTTGTTCTGCTGCATCACCTATCTATTGGACCTTGAGTATCAAATCATGCACTCAAATTCAACTATTACTAATTAAAAATGAAAAAAAAAAGGACATATAAGATGCCTTGAACATGTAACAGTACGAACCATCACTTAGTGAAAATTCGAGAATTTTTCTTTTTTTTTATAGTACTTTTTAGTGATAATTTCTTTGTAACTTGTGCTGAGTAAAGTCTACTTTTTTGAAGTTGACAACCCTTGGCATGGCATAAGCCTTAAAAGAAAGAACTATGGGCACCTTTTGTGCTTTCTTTTCTTTCCTTCTTCACTCTTCCATTCTCTAGCGATTGAATCATGTGCAAATACTTTGCTATTTCAAATACATGACTGGTATTTCATACTGAGTGGCGAGTTAGTATCATCATTTTTTATGATTTGCTCTGGTTGAACAGTGTATGAGTTATTTGGTAAGCTGGTTTTAGGAACTAATGTATGTGTAACCATCAATATTCAAGTCATTTTCTCTTGATCATTCAACATGAATCTTTGTGCAGTCTTCTCAAGCAGCAGTGAATCAGCTCATACCACCTAGCAGAGGTTTGTAGTTCTGAGCCTTTAATACTTTGATACTTTAGACCGAAGCTTTCGAGAATTAAAATTCAGATAAATAGTATGTTATGAACGGATAACCCACAAAGTTGTTTCTAATTTATAATCACTGAGAAGACGAATTCTTTTTATGTACAATGTTATATGGCCCTTAACCGATCCAAACAAAAAAAGGTACTCCAAGCTGCATCCACGGTGTGTTCGCTCTACAGGATGGTTGTTTATCAACATCCCTAGTTGAATGTCCCTGTGGGCCCCTTGACTTCGAGTATCATGTACAATAGTCTAATAGCAGTGATGTGCTTTCCCTTTTACTATATTTACTAAAATGACTTATTCCTCACCCTCGATGTGCATTACTTAAGTTGTAGGTCATTACTTAAATTGCAACCTACAACCTGGAGTTTTATACAGATATGCATGATTTGTCTTATTTGTAATACCACCTTGATCAAGATCCACGCTCTGCCAAGTATAGGTTTGGTGCTTCCACATCAGGCCTTTTTTCTCACTTTGCTTGAGCTAAAACTACCTCACTCTTCCTTTGCAGGAAACTCATCAAAGAGCTATGCGAGGTTATTGAAGATTATGGTCTGGTCAATTTCACCGCACTGGATATTCAGGTATCTCAGAGAGTGTGCTTGCTGCTTCCAATGATGCTGCAAGCTCGGGGGCCGGTGAGCAAGCAAGAAGGATAGTCTTGATGTTCTTAGAGGGGCTTTAACATTGGCTTTCCTACCCTTTTGGTCTAAAAAAATCAGCAAAGCAGCAAAGAAACAATGAGATGGTGGCTCAAATATCTCATATATGGAGAACAAGCTGCCATGGAAGTGCTGATACAACACTTTGAGCCTCATTTGCAAAATTGGGGAAAGTTTGATAGGCTTCAAAAGGAGCACCAAGACAACCCTAAAGATAAGAGCTTGGCTGAGAAAACAGCTGCTCAGAGTTTGCTGTAGAGAGTATCCGAGTCACTTAAAACCAGCTCGTCTGGAGAGAGACTCAAGGATATGATTCTAGAGAGAGGGATTACTCAATTAGCTGTCAAGAGGTATTTGACCTCCTTGTATCATTTTTTCTATTTCATGAGGTGTTTGACCTCCAGTGGTTTGTAAATGATTGTAATTGGCCGTTGCTTAATTAATGGTAATCCAGTAATATGTACATGGTTGTAATTGGTCGTTGTTGAATTAATGATAATCTTTTGTAAATGAAATTTCCTGGTTTCAGGTATTATTCAGTTTATGTTTTTTTTTTTTTTGAGACACACATAAAGAGAGAGAGAGAGAGAAAGAGAGAGAGAGAGAGAGATCATTGTCATCAACTACAATGAAGCACACAGAATCTTTTGTGAATGAAATTCTTTGGGTTTTTTTTTTTTCTGTATGCCCTCTTGTGTGGTAAAAGGTGAGAATGTATCAAATGCTCGACATAAAAAATAAAATAAAGTGAGAACTGTGGAGATATAGATGCGTTTCATTATCCAAACAAACCTACATTGCACATATTAATGAAATGCATGGAAAAGAGATAAATGTTACACATAAGTTACCAAAAAGTCACTAAATAGGTTCATTAGATGCCCCATAGAGGGGCCTTTTACATGGCCACAAAATTACATGAATATTAAATATTCACTTAACCCCCAAAGTCAACTACAAAAAGGGGTATTTACAAGTTTCCAAAATTCAAAAAATTAGTCAACTCCTTTACATTCCCCATAAATTATTCAAAAAATTAATCAACTCGGCTCGAGGTCCTCGGTAGCGCCACATCCCATGTACCCTCACGAGACAGTTACGTTTGTCATATCCACTCTTATTGCAAACTTTACACTTCCTTCCCTTTCTTATATCAAATCCTACAAATTTTGCGTACTTATTATAATAATCATAAGCTTCATCTTCGTCAGTAAATGCCATTCCTATTGCCGATTCGATACTTGCACCTCTTGTTAGGGCTACCTCAGCATCTATAAGTAACGAATCTCCTTCTCCATTTATTGCAACTATGTCCTCATCAGATGGAAAATCATGGCAAGCTTCATCCAGTATAACCTGAGCACCACACTCATTCCCATTTTTTGAATTAGTAATGTTGAGGGGAGAGGAGGGAGATACTGATGTTGAGGCATCCATGATACAAGCATAGTACGCCCGTACAACCTCCTCCGTTAGCGCTGACATAGTAATGGCTGTGTCGAGATCTGATCTTCCGATCGGGAGCTACTCTCTCCAATGTCCCCAAGTACATCATCATTTGCATTTTTCTCCTCGAGCTCCTCTAATGGGATTGGATAATACTTTCATAGGTAGCCGAATGCCTTAAGAGTTCTGTGCTATGGTGGATTTCCTCCCACTACATTATAACACCGAATGTTAATTGGCAAAAATAACACAATAATGAATTCTAAAGCAATTCTTAGAAAACAAAGACTACTGCTTATCTATCTCATTAATTATATAACAGAGAAAACAAAGACTACTGCTTGTCTATCCCATTAATTATAACATAGAAAACAAAGAGTACTGCTTATCTATCCCATACCAGAGATTTTCGTCCCTTTCTTTCTTCTCCAAGGATCAGCAAACCCGGAATGCAGGCTCGTATGAAATGGCACTTGTTTTCACTACTCTCAAGCAGAAGAGAGTCCAAGAGATACATTCAATAACCGATTGCAATCACTTATCGATTTTGTTTTCTGTACTACAAGACCCCGGATGATAGGTAGTGCTTCCAATACTTGAGACAAAAGCTCATCTCGCATGAACCTATTCACACCATTAACAGAAAGTAAGTAACATAAAACCCTAAGATTTCATTTCAAAGTTCAACTTCAGGGAAATGAATACTGAACCTAAATTCATTTAAAAAATAAAAGAAAATGTTGCATTGTGAAATAGAGAACAAAAGCATGACATAAAACCAAATAATTGTATTAAAATTTCAATTAAAAGTCATGCATTATTTTTTCTATTAGGGCATTCAGCGGTATTCATTGCAATTTCTTCAAGTTATAGATCAAAACAATAAAAATTGTGCAGTGAAACCCATTTATAATCATCTAATTCAGTTTTCTTTCAGAATCAATGATAAAAGAAAGTAATAAAATCCAACTGAACCATTGTTCCTCTGTTTTTGTGATTGAATTCAGAAAAAAAAAATTGGGTAAAAGGGCACAACAAAAAATCCATACCAAGCCTAAAAATGATACAAACTGAATTAATGCAGGCTCAGAGATGGAGAGCTCGCGTTCCATATATCAATGGTGAAAGTGAAAATGATATGCAAAATCGTAATAGAGAGAGAACTAACCAGAAAAAAATTGGGTAAAATGGCACACAAAAAAATCCATACCAAGCTTAAAAATGATACAAACTGAATTAATGCAGGCTGAGAGATGGATAGCTCGCATTCCATATATCAATGGCAAAAGGAAAAATGATATGCAAAATCGTAATATAGAAAAAACTAAAACATGTTGGGTTTCTTCTTGAAGGAGGTTTCTTCTCTCTCTAAAGCAGGTGGTGAGAGAGAAAGGCCTTGAGAGAAGGGGACGAGCGATGAGACGGCATGAGGGCAGCAACGAAGAGAGAGTGAGGCCAGCAGCGTAGAGAGATGAGAGGGCCACGGGAGAGAGGGGACCTTCACACGAGAGAGAGGGGACCTCCGCAGAGGAGTAGAGATGGTGAAAGAGAGACAAGGGAGGTTAGCAGAGCAGAGGAGGGTAGAAGGTGAAATTTCGATCGGTTTGAAGCTTTTGTGGGTTTTGCAGTAGATCTCAACCGTTATTTTGAATTAATTTGAACGGACGGTGGCTGGTGGTGTGGTGAGATTACTGTTGCTTTTCTCCCATTGGGAAGACTTTTCTTTTATATATATATATATATAAAATAAAAAGCGGTATGGCATCTCAAACCATTATTAGCAATTTTTTGATTAAGGCTTTTTCATAAAATCTTCGATTTTTTTTAAATCCATTAAGAACTTGAAGTTTACCAGAGGATCTTCAAAGAATCAATTTTTTGTTTTAATTAAACCAATATGAATCCGTATTTTATCTCCTTTTTTTAAAAAAAATATCTAAAAATTTCTTCCCTACTTTATTGGAACTTCCATTCTCTTCATTGATTTAATATGTTTTAATTTTGGTTTAGAGATAAGCACGTCAAAAGTGATTTTAAACTTTTTTTTAACCAATCCCAATCCCGGATAAAGAACGTGGGTTATGTTAGGTAGGCAGCCAACATAAAACTTTATCAAAACTTTCTATAAATCTTGAATTTATGACCGACCTCAAATAATTGGAAAAAGGTCCTAATGATGATTATGATATTCCCTTTGTATTGAAAAACAATATATATTTCCCTAAAAGATTATATATCAAAGCAACCTTATATCCTAAATAATACATTAGAGTTATAGAAGTAATCCAATAGAAAATCTTTCTTTTCACGAAATCTAAAGCATCATTAAACAAAGACAAAAAGAGTTTTAGTGACAATCAAATATCTAGGTAACTAAAAATTGAATGTCAGATTCAAATATTTAAATTTGTTTAAGCATTTTATTTCTTTTTTTCTACACGTAGATGTTTGATTAATTTCATCTATTTGGACATTTTGTTATTTTATTTTTGCATACAACACGACATTTTGGATGAACCACTATGTACATTTTTGGGTTTTGTTCATTATTTAACTACATTCCTATATCTAGGGGTCTTTTTAGTTTTATTTAACATTATTGGGTTTTGAGTTTTAGTTATCTTTAATCCTCATTGAGGATCTTTTATATTTGTCTTCTTCTAAGAATAATTCTATTCCTCATGTTACATTTCTTGTTTAATAATGTAGTATTTGTGTTTAGTATTTTTGTTATTGTTTTTCCAATAAATCCATCACATGTTTTATAATAGAGTGCCAAGTGTTACCCTAACCAACTAGGTAAGGATATAAACTTATTGTTTCATTACTTAATATATTCATACAATAACGGCAATCATAATATCATCTTGTTTCACTCCTTTTTTTTTTAGAATATCCAAAAAATTAATGATTCCTTAACTTACCAATTTTTGGGGATCCATATTTTTTACTCGATTCTAATTTTTGGAACAAAATTGATTTACTAGCAATATTTGATTTGTCCATATATTGCTATTCCCATACTAGCTAGTTATGTTTCAGACTAGCTAATAAAGATAGATTAATTGAATGTTTAGAATAACTGAATATGATAGCTTAAAAATGCAATATATTAAGTTGTAATATCTTTAGTTTTCTTGAAACTGGAAGCTAGAAAATTTTAAAAATACTATTTTTCAAGTAATAAAAGTTCATAACTATAACATTCCAATATTCTTTTAATTTTTACTAAAAATAGAAAATTGCATCAATAAAAAGATACGAAGTCACTTATATTTAGAATTTTAGTAGAGAGAGAGAGAGAGAGAGATGCCCATATGAACACCCTTCTTCTTTGACGATTCTAGGTGTGATCCATGTACTTTGCTTCAAATTCATTAGCTATTAGTGTCAAAAAAGTTAGTGGAAGACCAAGGATGAAGTTTCTATAGGGCTTAGGTTTTATGAAAACAAAATAAAAGCCTCACCTCAAATCCTCATATGGAAAGCACTTTTGGCAATAGAAATCTCCATGATGGATCTAAATTGTGTTTCGATACCGATAATAAAATTTGAAACTAAATGTACAATTCTTGTGGATCTATGAACACTTCATTTTGGGTGAAATGGACGGTCTAGATAGTTTGTTACAATATACATATTTTTAGAGCTTAAAAGCCATTTTTTTTATGACAACTAATATGTTTAAATGCTGGAATTGTAATTTTTATGACAACTAATATGTTTAAAAGTTTTTAAATGCTTGAATTGTAATTTTTGATGAATTGTAAGGTGAGGCTTTAGTTATTTCAACAGGGCTGCAGCCCTATCAAAACATTTTCCAAAATAAAAATAGTGCGTGTATTGTGTTGTAGGAACATTGTGTTTAGAAAAAAGAAGAAGAAGGAAATGTCCTAGGTAAAAGCGACTTGGGAGAATTTTATGATCTAAGAACATGAGATGTACCTAAGAATCACAATTCAAAAATTGGACGGTCTCTGTTCAATTTTAAGAACTTTAAAGTGTAATTTTGCTTAAAATTAACAGCTAAGTTGAAGGCGTTACATCCCCAAATTTTGAACTCCCAAAATTACTCTATTAGATTTGGGTGTGCTTTTTATATGGTTGCAACCTTAAACAATCCAATTAAGGCGCACCTCCAAATTTTATCATAACTTATAATTTTGGTGTAAAAAAATCTTAAGATTATTTCGAAATCTATTTTTATATCTAATTATAAAATTATAAACTCCAAATATAATTAAAATCAAGTAAATCTTTAAACAAATAAAAATCTTGAAAATAGACGATCTAAATAATGTGTTGCAAGATGCACTATTTCTGAGACTCAAATATCAATTAGAAGTTTTTCCACCATTAAAACAGCCTTTTTCCATAGATTTTTGAGGTGCACCTTTAATTCTAAGGTTGCAACCTTATATAATTTTTTCCGTTAGATTTTAGCTAAAGGATTAAATGATTAAATGCATAATATGCTCCACCCAAGAAAATCTTACCTCTTTGGGCAATAAACCAAAAGCAAAAGAAAAGTCCTTCATGCGTTGGGGGACGCACACCCGCATTTGTGTCCTCCAAGGCATCTTTCATCAATCTTAAGATGGATGTAAAGTGGTACTTTTTCAAGAACGAAGAAAAACCAACGGCCAGATAATTTTTTTTAAATATCAATTTTAGTTTTTAACATTTATTTATTTATTACATAGTAGTGATCCCATGTTAGATATTTGATATTTTTAGTTTCTATAAGACCTAGGCTCTATAAAAACAAAATAAAACCTCATCTCAATTTTTTGTCTGGAAAGCACTTTCAATAATAGAAATCTCTATGATACCTCTAAAATCAGTTTTCAATAACAATAATAAAATTTGAAACTCAAAAAATGGTACAAATCTTGTTGGTCGATGATCACTTATTTTTAGGGAGAAATGAATGGCCTAGATAATTTGTTGCAATATACACTAGTTTTAGAGCTTTAAGTCCTAATTTATTTTCACAAACATAATGCTCCAGTCGAGATGATCATTGTAAAGGTTTTTAATGCTTGAATTGCAATTTTCAATGAGTTATGTGGTGACGCTTTACTTATTTTGATAGGGCTGCAGCCTTATCAAACCATTTTCCAATCTAAAATCTATCTTAAAGTGGATCATAAAAAGGGGATGTATATCTATATGATTCCTAGGACTCATAGAAACCTTACCCAAATTGAAAAAAGTTTATATAGAGCCGAGGCTCTAAACAATCAAATTAGAGCCCATCTAAAAAATTTCACTAGAAGAGGTTGTTTTGATGACCAAATATCCTCAAATTGATCATAAGAAAAAAAATAGATTTCAAGTTTTAGAAATAGCGCATCTTGTGACGTATTTTTGGACCGTCAATTTTCAAGATTTTCATAGATCCACTCGATCTACATTATTTTTTTAAGTTTTAAATTTTATAATTAAATATAAAAATACATTGTAAAGGTATCACAAAGATTTCCAGTATTGTAACCACATTTTTGAAAGATAAGCTCTAACTTGATTGTTTTGACCGTAAGCTCTATACAAACCGCAACCTTTAAAACCACCACTTAAAAGCTAAGTCATTCCATTCACTTACTTCGAAGTAAAAATAATCGCAGACACATTTCACCCCTGTTTGGACGCTCGCATTGCTCCCACACAAGATGATTTATATTGCGGTAACATTAAAACACTTTCTGAAAAGACAGTGATATCCAAGATATGTTCCTGTCCCACATAAAATGGGACGTTTTTCGCCAAACACTATTTACCCTTTTGACAACCGCCTTGTTCGGGATTTATACACCCAACAAACGGGCCGTAGAAACACACACTAGCCAAGACTGTATATGCACGCCAATTCACTTCATATCGTGAACCAAAACCAGAAACATTTCATACATGGGAGGTTTGGCACAATCAGTCATGGGCGATTGCCCTTTTTCTTGACTTGTGATGTTGCCAGGTTATTCACGAATGCGAGCGCGTAACCCGTCACCTTCATCGCATCAGACACTCGACCACTCAAACCCGAGTCTCCAGTCGAGTCATCAAACTCATCCAAACAGGTATCATCATCTGTCATACCTGCACTCAACCATGATTGGATGTTACTCAATTGCCATCCAAAACTTGATCGGCGTAAGCGACCAAGCTCGTGAGCCGATCGTTTAATCAGGTCAACGGCATCAGCAAGGGTATCAGCGCAGTCCTTGAGAGCACCGTCGTCTGGGCTCGATCTTGCGAGCCTGTTCGCAAGGGAAGAGGCATTGCGTGCGCTTTTGAGGCTCACGGAGATGGCGGCTTGGGCAAGTTTGCGAGGGTTCTGTTTGATGGAATCGGCGTAGGGCGAGAGGGAGTCGTAACAAACGGAGGGGTAAAGGGTGGCGTTACACGATGTTCGGATGAAATCGGAGCACGATTTGTCAGTAACGGCCGTTATTGAGGAGATTACGGCAGGAAAAATGAACAGAAACATTAGAGAAGACACAGACGCCATTTTTTGGCTCCTCTTTTACCTTTTATGTGGGATGAGTGTTCTTAGGGGAGGTGTAACAGTGGTTTAAATAAAGAGGGCAAGGGAATAAGTTGGGTATTAAATGAAACGGCCGTTGATTATATATGATACGATGGAAATACAAAGGGAAAGCTTTTTTTTTCTTTTCTTTCTTCCTTTTTTTTTTGGGTGAATAACCAACAAAGAGAAGGCTTACAATGTGGGGACTTATACTTCCCAATGGGCACCCCGGTTAATGTCACTACGCGCCATGTCTTTGCGTGAAAAAGCTAAAACAAATTTGGCATTAACTAGGTTCCGGACCCAGTGGGGCTTCCTGCCCCCAGCGGGCCCTTGTCCCTATAGGTTCGGCCGAAATAGGCCAAGGCAAGGCCCAACCCTCACCTTATAAGGGGTAAGGCCAAACCGGCCGGCCCTTGCCTAACTCTCAAGCTCTATTAGTTCACATTAATTGCAGCGTTCAAAAATTCGGCCAAGTATTTTCTACTCTACTATGCTGATTTACTCAAGCTTGCGCCCTTGTCGAGCCTGAATTGGCCTTCCAACTTGTGATCTTAAATTTAAAAAAAAAAATTATAAAAAGTCTCAAAAAAGAAAGAAGAAGTATATATTTAACACGTGTATTTATGTTATCTATTATTTTGGCAAAAATTGAAAAGTATTTTAGCCACGAATACTTATTTTTACATTTTTCTGATTTTTTTTGAAAATTTGAAAATACCCCCGTCACAAAAGAAAAGAACGAGGCCCACATATGATCCATAGTGGTTAGTGGTTTAGAATTAAATAATTTTAAAGCTCTCAAACTTCCGTATCGAGTTCCCTAGTAGTTTTTTATTTGAATGTAATTCAATGAGAAAGACTGACGTGCCCGATTCCAATATTAGTAAAGTAGTTTTAATAGTGGGAATAAAAACTACAATGATAACCTTAATGTGGGGAGTGCTGCAACGACGACCCGCTCATGTGTGAGTGCTTCAACGACGACCCGCTCTTTCCCGGTAAGCAGGTATATGGACCAGATGAATGCAAAGCGTCACGTCAGAGAGCACAACTCGAAAAGCAGTTGCTACGGTTAGCTTTCCTCGCCACTCTTTAGTGATAAAGTAACGGAATCAGCAACTAAAGCAATGAGTACGTCGTGCACGCGCGGGTGCCGACTAAATAAAGTTCAAGGTAACTGATGTCGTTATTTCGTGTGAATGGACGGACGCTTTTTCTTCTGGTTTCCATTTCATTTTGGGGGATTGCAATTTATACGCCCTTTTTAACTATAATAAATGTTTTGATAGGGCTGCCGCCCTATAAAAAATAAAAAGTAAGTAAAGCCTTATCTCACAAGCCACAAAAAAGTTGTACTTCTTGCATTGGAAAACTTTCAAATCTATCATCTACCGCCGGGACCGTAATGGTTGTTAAAAAAAATTAGAACTTTTAGTCCTAAAATAATATATATTAGAGCACATTATTTAGATCATTCATTTCACCTTAAAAATAAGTGTTCATGTATCCAAGATCTATTTTATTTTTTTGAACTTCAAAACTCATAATCGGTGTTAAAAATTGATTTTAAAGCCATCATAAAGATTTTTGATGCCTAAAATACTTTATTGACAACTATTCGAGATGAAATCTTGTTTTGTTTTCATAGGGGGCTTATAAAAACTGCATTCTTCAATTACATCAATTGATTTTTAACAATATCCAAACAAAAGAAAGGCGGGGAATTAAATGGTCGGAGGAAGAACTTAAACTATTATCCAAAAAAACAAAAAGGTCGAATTTAAACTCATGTAGATGGTGGTATTTAGAGCTCAAAAAATAGGGGCACAAAATTGACATCCCCCTTCAATTTATTCAAGATTTTTGTTCGTTTCTTTATACAAAAAGCTGGATAGCGGCTGTCGTTTTATGTAATTATTGGAGTGAAGGAGCCCACGGCATTAAACTAAACGTCTATAACCACGGCGATGGCCCCGCCCCCTCAGCGTCTTTTGAGTTCTATATGCCACATGCTCCTCTCTTTCTTTTGATGGCATGCTTAATATCTAATTAAACAAGTTCAGTATCTAATTAAATATGTTTAGTTTCTAATTGAAAACTTCTGTTAAACAAGCACGATTAGCATGAAGGACTTCGTTTAAAAGGGGAGAGGCCAAAGACACATAACAGGAAGAACTTGTTTAACAAAAGAAAGGGAATCACTACTGTGTCATTCCTCCCAATTCCAGCTAAATTTTTTCTATGTATGACTCAGTCTTGTGGACAAACATATGAACTAGCAAACACATATTGAGAGAAGTGATTTTTAACAAGATGGGGCAAAGGAATTTGGACCGTTCATTGTGAGGATGGTGGAGATCAAGCAAATAAGGCCATGAACCTAGTCACCAATGTTTGATTCAAATTGGTCATAAGAAGGGGTGGTCCAAATGAGACTGATGGGGCAGGGCAGTTGTCGGGATGACTATGAAAAATATCTTCGTTCTTTTTTGTATTAGATTGTGTGTGTTGTCTGTCAAAACTTAGTGCATCTTATTATTGTGTTATACTTGTTTAAGTCTCATTAATCTTTGGGTATGTTCCAAGTAATTAGAAAGTTGTTGAGAGTGTGGATCATTTCAATCCCTACTCTCTTATTAATTTGGTGAAGTTTTCATTTAGAGAGGTGTACAGTGGATCATTTCAATCCCTACTCTCTTATTAATTTGGTGAAGTGTCATTTAGAGAGGTGTTTGTGAGCTAGTCAAATGGGTTTTAGTTTTTTTTTTTTTTTTGGTAATTAAGTGGGCAAGATAAGCCCCTACTTGTTTTCAAGCAGATTAGGAGTTAATTTTTTGAAAGTATTAGTGGGATAATGTTAGCGGTGGGAATAAAAACCACAATGTAATCACTAAAGATTGTAGGGAAATCCAATACGTGAGCAAGTCAAATGGGTGGTAGAGCAAGATTAGGACGTGGTTGTTACTAGTTGAGAGATTGTAGGGGAATCCAATACGTGGGTCTAAGTTGGTGTTTATTTATAGTGTCTCATGTAGTATGTAGTAATGCAAATTGAAGAAAAGTATTTCAAGTCTCCTTTACTTCTGTGTGTGCTTGTTTCGTGTGAGTAAGAGTTCTTTTCAAGTGTCTCTTTGGTTCTCGATCTTGGGTGTGATTTGTAGACTAAATCTTACCATTGATTATTTTTTATCACATTATCTCATTTAAATATAATATTAATGTTTAATTGATGCTATAGATGTGTTGCCATTGAGATTTATTGCATTTTAGCCTCGAAATTAATGTGGTAGCACTCAAATAGGAACCAGACTCTTGATATTCACATCTTTTCAATAATTTAATCAAAATATGTATATTAATCAATTGTTTCAACAAATCTTTGATCAATAGTAGTATATAATCCTAAAAGATTGATGCATAACAGTAGTATTTTAAAACTCGGTGATTTTCAATCAGCGTCACTGATCCAGATGCGGAATCAGTTGGGACCGTATGGGTCCCCACCCAGTTCCCCCATAAAACACTCCTTTCCATTTTTTTATCTTTTTTCTTTAAACTTATCTAACTTTTTATCATCCCCGCAAAATCCCCACCTCATAAATCTCTATTTAAATTTTATTTTATTTTCTTAAATTTTTTTGGATCACCTATCCAAACAATTCAAAAATGATCTAGATCGAATCAAATCGATCCTAACCGGGATTGAGGGTGGACGATCCCCATTGATCTGATTTTTTAAACATTGATCCAAAGGTTTACAAAGAAGGCTGAGTTGAAGTCCTCCTCCAAATGGATTTATAAAGTAGAATTTTGAAAAAATTTCTAATGGAAATCATGGCTTAAAAGGAGCGGTGGTGGTGCTTAGAGTTCATAATGGAGTGATTACAGGAAAGTTCTCAGGGGCGGCTGGAATCATTACTGCCCATGAGGTTGAAGTGTGTGCTACGTTGCAGGGTTTTAAGATCTGAGAGGGTCACACGGAGACATGAAGATAAAAGGCAATTCAGTAATGGAAGAAGTTTATATAAGGGTAAGGTTTTAAACAGTCAAATTAAAGTGCACCTCAATAATTCACTTCGAAGAAGTTTTACTTCGAAAAAGTTGTTTCGATGGCCCAAAATTTTCAAATGTATCATCTCGATCACAAGATGTATGGATATGAAAAAAAAAAAATGAATTTTAATTCTTGAAAATAATGCATCTTGTATTATATTTTTTGGACCGTCAATTTTTTAAGATTTTTAAGTGTTTGTGTACTTGCTCGATCTACACTATTTTTAAAGCTAAAGATTTTATAGTTAGATGTGAAAATAAATTTTCAGACGACTACAAAAATCTCTAACATTTAAATAATATCTTTTGACACTATTTAAAAGTGTGCTTTACTTTGATTATTTAGAACCTTGACCGTATAAAAAGCACACCTTCATTAAATACTATGAAGTGGTGCAAAGGGAAGTAAGTACTTTGGAGTATTGAAATTACGGATTTAGGAGAAGAAATGTATACAATATTGCACAAGAATCGTGAAAAAGAAATTAGAAAGATTCAAAACTTCACTTGGGTTTAACTTATTTAAAATATAAATTTAAAGAAATAAATGCAACATGCGTTTAAGTTATTTAAAATATAAATTAAATGAAATAAATGCAACATGACACAAGCCCATGGAAGCGACATGCTTTAAGGAAACGCATCGTAGCATGACCTCAACTGAGCCACCAACATGGACTGGATTGACAAAATGCTTTTAATTTGAGTGTTTTCTAGTATATTGTAAGGGACGTTTGCGTAATTAATGGAACATTACAAGAAAGGGAAATGTTTATACGGAACCAAGGCCCTAAACAATCAAATTAGAGCCTACCTCAAAATTTTCACTAAAAGAGGTTGTCTTGATGCCCAAATATCCTCCAATTAATCATCTCAACATCAAGATGCATGGACATGAGAAAAATGGATTTCAAATTTTGGAAATAGTGTATTTTGTAATGTATTTTTGGACCGTCAATTTTCAAGATTTTCATAGATCTATCCATCTACACTATTTTTTAAAATTTAAATTTTATTAATAAAGATAAAAATATATTTCAAGGCTGTCATAATGATTTTCAGTATTGAAACCAAATTTTTCGACACTATTTGAAGGTAGGCTCTAATTTGATTGTTTAGAGCTTATACAAATGCACCCTTAAAGAAACGGGCACCCGGTACTCTCAGGGAAAAAGTTTATATAATGGTGAAGGTCCTAACCAATTAAATCAAGGGGCACTTCGAAAATTCACTAGAAGAAGTTATTTCAATACTAAAAACTCTCAATTCGATTATCGTGACCTCAAGATGTATGGATATGAGAAAAAAATAAATTTTTAAATATTAAAAATAGTGCATCTTGTAATGTATTATCCAGACCATCAATTTTTAATATTTTCAAGTATTCGTAGATCTGCCCAATTTACACTACTATTGAATTTTTATATTTTATAATTAGATATGAAAATAAATTTTGATGCACAAAGATTTTTGCTATTAAAACAACATGTTTCGATACTATTTGAGGTGTGGCTTACTTTGATTAATTAGGTCCTCAACCTTATATACCACACCCCTCTTTTAATTCAATAGAGATATCAAAAAAATTATGTGATGATAAAATAATTGGGATTGTATACAATGATACCATTTACCGTTGGTACATAGAGGTCACAATTACTTATAATCATCTAATGTAAAATCTAATAACTTAGATGTGTCACAAAGTTCAGAAATTTTTTTTTTAAACTTTGAGGACCTCATTGTACCAAAGGTAAATGATCTAATCATATACTTTCCCCCAATAATTATCCAAAAAATAATAATCTAAAATGTGGTTCCTTATAGTCTATGTTAGGCCATTAATAAGAAAAGTGAGAGTATCCCATCTACATCTTGCGGACGGGTGAAAAGGTGCACAAGGCCATATCTACTAGCTAAACATTTATTTTAGACCTTATGTTTTATTTTTATGCAATAAAAATTTGATCTAGATTTTCAATATAGGTTTATTTTTATAAAGACGACTCAATAAAAATGATTAAAAATATTTTAAATAAAAAAATAACTAAAATACCCCCAATTTTATTTTGGTCAATATTTTTATTTAAAATATTTTTTATTATTTTGATTTAATTCTACTTAAAAAATAAAATTTAGATTAGTAGCATGTCAAATTAGATGGCTTGGAGTGAGTTACGAAGTCCAAGAATGTTTTCTTTTGGAATTTTGTATCTAATCAATGACACTCTGACAACCACCCATTTTGAAATTTAAGAGACAAGAATGATTGTGACTTCCTTGTACAAAATATAATGGTCTCTTTGTAGACAATTCCTAAACTTATATATTGAAAAGAGTATGGATATTAAAGATGGACGTAAAAAAAAAAATGTATACAATAAGGCTATTTATTTTTAATATAAAGAGGTCACAATTATTATTGACTATTGGATGTAAAATCAGATGGTTGATAATGTGTCATTGATTGGACACAAAGTTCAAAATAAAATTTCTTGGATGTTGTGACACAATTCAATCTATTGGATTGTACTAAAAAGTATATGGTCTTATAGGATACAATCCTTGTAAAAAACACTAGTTTTACAAAGTTTGAAACCAAAGACGATGTAAGAAAATGGTACTCTCACATAATTCAAAACGAAGGGTGCAAGAAAGTTAAAAGAGAAATTTATGTTCAAATTATAGAAAAATATTACGTTCGTACCAAAAAAATATGGTATAACGCGAAGGTCCAATTTTCCGGAAATTTTAAATTACATGGAGGTATATCTCCTACATTATTTTTAATTTTTTCCGATTCATTCCTCGGTTCGATGTTCCAAGCATCGAACCTAAATTATAGGGAAATTCTCTGTCTAGGAGCTATATGAGACCTTCCCCTAGAAAACATAGAACCCATAGGGCGCAAGATTCGCCTCCAAAACTACAAAACCGAAGTGTTAAGAGGTTTGTAATCTCGGATCACAAAGCTTAGCAAAAACTTTGAGGTCACAATGCTTCCATAAAAAATATTGTATTCCTCGACATGGGGTTGGGAAAAGGGCTGGAGTCCTCGTGGTAGTACTCCACACCCTAATCACCACGTTGTGGTTTTTATTCTCACCACTAATACCACTCTACTAATACTTTCAAAAAGCTAACTCTTAATCTACTTGAAAAATAGGCAGGTACCTTTCTTCCCCACTAAATTACCCAAAAAAAAAAAAACATGGGCCGAAATGTTCCCCATGCATGCCATATTGCATTGTCAATGATGTAAATACACTTAAGACCACGGACCACAATGTTTCACAGAGCATGTGTCCAATGTCCAAGGCCAAGGCCTTACGTTCGAGGTTTGTCACCTTAGACCGTTCTTTTGGCTAGAAATTTTCATATAATTCAAAGAAATTAAATAAAATAAAATAAAAAGCTAATATGATATTTGGAACATTAAAACGAGGGGCAAAATTCAAAAAAATAAAAAAGGATGACAAGATTGGACCTTCACGTAAAGTTTCAGATAAATTGGACCTTCACATAATACTGTATTTTTTTATGGTACGGTTGTAATTTTCCCCACATGAAATATGGTCTAATAAGAAAATGACTTTTAAATGTTCTCAAAATGTGGGGATTCCTAGCCTATATAAGACTTCCTAATTTGGAAGGAAACAAACTGAGGACCTAGGATTTTTTCTAAGGTGCGCAAAAAATAATAAATCATACAAGTTCTTGGAACTAAGTTCAAATACAATAATTGAATCTATAGATGTTGAATTTTCAGAACCTAATCCATAAAAGTGAACTTGAAAGTGTTAGGACTTTACCGATGAGGGATGAACGAGTTAAAAAAATATGGTACTTATAATGAACCCAAAGCAAATAACGATGATAATGTCATAGAACTAGGCAGTATGAGAGAAATAATGAAAACAAATGAAATAATAATTATGATTTTGTAGAACCAGGTAGAATATGAGAGAAGAAAAGTTACCCTCTACAATTTTATCCCTGATATTTATACTTGCCTGGTTGAAGTAAACAAAGAGGAAGGTAGTAGGAGTAATACAGATAGCCTTAAATGTGGCGGCCCTTTTTTATTAGGTGAATCCATAATGTCACATGATACGGTGTTATCGATAAGATGGACTGTGGAGTTACCATTTAGTTCTAAACTCATAGGATGTAAATCGATATTCAAAAGAACATATAAGGGTGATGAGTCTATCAATAAGTAAAGGCAAAAAGTTTATATAACGTTGTAACCTTAAATGTAGAATTAAATATGCACCTCAAAAATCTATCAAAAAATATTGTTTTAATATTCAAAAGCCATCTAATTGATCATATCGATATCGAAATGTATGAATATGAAAAAACAATATATTTTGAGTCCTACAAATAGTACATCTTGCAACACATTATCTAGACCATCCATTTTCAATATTTTCATATTTTTATAGATCTATTTGATTTTAACTATTTTTGGAATTTAAAATTTTATAATTAGAGATAAAAATATATCTTAAGATAATATTAAGAATTTTTTACACCAAAATTACATATTATGATAAATTTTAGAGGTGTGCCTTAATTAGATTGTTTAAGGTTGCAACCTTATAGAAACCGCACCCATAAGTAAATAGCTAAATTATTAGCCAAAGGGTTAGAACAAAAAGCGAACATAAATTATTTTGACACTTATGCCCCAGTTGTAATGATACCTACTAACTATTAACAATAGCTTGAATCAACCATCTAGTTGTACATTAAAATGGATGTAAGAACTATTTTTCTAAATGGTGAATAAGACGTAAAAATATATATGAAACATCTCAAAGGGATTTGTGATGCTAAGCTAAGAATGTTTGTAGATTGGTTAATTTTTTCATGTACTAAAACAAGCACCAAAACAATGACCATTTTTTTTTTTTTGAAAATGTGCTAATGTCAAATAAACTAAGAGCAATAAGGCTGATAAATGTATATATAGTAATGGCATTAATTTTAGACATGCCATTGTATGTTAAATTTGTGGATGTTATGTAGATATTTGGCCCTAAAATGAAAATATTGAAAATGGTTTCCTTGCATCGAGTTTTGAAATGAGGGATTTAGATGTGGGTAATGTGATACTTGGTATCAAGATGGTAATAGTTATTCTGTGTTATTTGGTATGAGGATAATGTGATACCCATGCGATGAAGGGAGTAAATAGTTATTCTGTGTTTCTCTGTTTCTCCTAACATCCTCTCCCTCCCGTCCTATGTTGACATGGTTCTCCTGGCTCCTCTCCCTCCTCTCCTATGTTGACATTGCTGGACCGGTGTACGATTGCGGAAAAAAAGCGCCACCGGTGGTCAGGGAGGTGCTCGTTGTAATTTTTGACAAAAAAAAAAAAAAAATCCCATACATTAATTAAGGGGGAAATAATGTCCATACATAATTTTCTCATAAGTAAAACTTCCCCTTGCTCATAAGTAATTTTCTTATACATAATTTTCTCATAAGTAAAACATCGCTTTGATGTTTCAAAAATATGCAAGATCTTACAAAAGCATATCAAAATAAAACCAAAGAAAATCACTTGGTACAATAATATCACAATCACTCTTGGTGCTGGGGATTTCGAGAAACGACCATTGTTCCATTTGAATCCCACTAACCTCCTTGAATAAAAAAAAAATAGCGAATGCAGAAACAAACAATCTTTAGCCGTGAAAACATACCGTTCACAATCAAATTCAGCAATAGATCGTAATATTGACAGGTTCGAATCTCTAATTATGGCAATTAAGTTGTTGCAGCGGCTGCAACATAATGTCCCAGATTCAAATCCCAACTACTCTATCCAAAAAATATAGTAGTAATAACATATAAATGCAGAGACCTTCATGAGAGATCAGTGTTGCTCTCCTCCAACTGTAGCGGTGGAGAAATGGTTGACAAGAGAAAGAGCATTGCTCGTAAGCTGGGCGAGGTCCCCAATCTTTCCTGCAATAACATCCTTAACCTCGCCATCGAGCTCCTCAAATCCATCGGAGCATGCGTTTTCATCTGTGAGGGCGGCGCTAATCCACGTCTGCACGTTGCTCATCTGCCACTTGAAGCTCTCAGTCTTGATCCTCTGCAATTCTTTCATGGAGTCATTCATCTTGTCCTCTCCATCTTCCAGCGCTTCCACGCAGTCATTCAAGGCCATCTGCTCCTCTTCACTGACCTTTGCTGTCTTGATCAACTCCGCGACGAAGCCTGCAGTAGCTTTAGTGGCGGAGAGGCTCACCATCAAGGCGGCTCGTGCAAGTTTCTTGTGACTGTATGTCACGTACTCAACTTGACCAGAGAGGCTGGAGAGGCAGAGGTCAGGGTACAGGGTGGTCTCGCAAGCTGTTTTAATGAAGATGAGAGCAGAGTCGTTTGGGGCATCGCTGGCAATGGCCGAGTACACAAGAAGAGAGGAAAGAGACAGAGAGAGAAGGAAGAGGTGGGAGGCCATTGCAGGAAAACAAGAGCTTAGGAGAACTTTTTATTTAAGAGAGGTTTTGCAGGTCTTGTAGTTGCAGGCAATGGGAGAGGAAGAAGGGGTTGCTTTAAAAGGGAAGGGCAATGGGTGGTTACGCGGTTTATTTGGTCGTGTAGAGAGAGAGAGTCGGGGCTTTCTGTTAACGTCCTTCCTTTGCCCCTAGGCCCAAGTGTTCACGCCGGGTTCCACGCTCTCTCTCTCCCTCTCTTCCCCTTGCCAGACGGAATAACGACTGTGGGGGTGGCAATGGACCCAAACCCATTTGAGACCCGAGGGGTAGACCTGATTCGGGTCTGAATATGAGTTTTAAAAATTGAACTGGTCCGGCCTCACATCTTGGACCCAAACATTATTTGGGTCCGAGTCCATTAATACTTTTCAGGCCCTAATATATAAAATATATTTGAATATGAGTGGTTTGCATAAGGTTGTAATTTTAAACCATTTAAATTTTATCATAAATGTAATTTTGATATAAAATTTTTTAGAATAACGTGATAATTTGTTTTAATTTTTAATTATAAATTTTTAAATTTTAAAAATAATTCAAATTAACTAGATCTATAAACACATGAAAATGTTGAAAATAGACGATCTAGATAATGTGTTGTAAGATAAACTATTTCACGGACTGAAAATCTTTTTTTTCATATTCATACATCTCAATGTTGAGATGATCAATTAGAAAGTTTTTTCCAACATCCAAACAACTTTTTATGATGGATTTTTGAGGTGCACCAGTACTTTTACATTTTAAGGTTACCACCTTATGTAAAGTTTTCCCTTTAAATATATTTAAATACATAAATATTTTAATTTTTTAGTGGGGACCCATCAGGTCTGGCTGAGACCCTACCCGACCCTTTGCCACCCTAGGTCTAAGGGGAGGAAATTATTTGGAATCCACATTGGTTTAACTAATGTCTAAAACGTCCCCCTATTTCTAGGTCCATTGCTTTGACACAATGTTGGCAAGGTGGGGGGTCTTCGGATAATTGTTTTAGCCAAAAGATGTTATGGTCCTGCTTCCCTGTGGTAAAATCCCCTCTGGGATTAAATCGGACACTAAATTTTCAAAGATGCAACATTTTCAACTCATAAAATAATATTACTCGAAAAAATTTCTTAATTGCACCCTCTATGCTCTTAAAAAATAATAATATTTCAAAATTGAATAGAGACCGTCCAATAATGAGAGGTTAAGATTTAAGTGTTTGAAAACAACTCTACCAAACAAAATAGTGTTAGAAAACTCAAATCTAAAAAATTCTTTCTTTTTGAGTATAATCATCTAATGATTTTTATATAGTTCCCAAAATTTAAAAATCCTCTTCTACACCAGGGTAGTGTTTGTGCTTAATTTTTAATTATAAATTTATAATTTCAAGCACATATTATATGCTCTCAGGATGTTCTAAGTGGATGAGGACCTTGAACTTTCGCTTAACCCTTCTCAAGCCATGGTAAATGAGCTATTTGGAAGAATTTTTTGAAACCTAAATTTCTATATTCAGTTGAGAACAAATCAATGACCAATTTTTGAAAAAGAAAATCTCATGTTCAGATTTTCAAAACAAATGAATAATTATCGGACGGTTTATATTTTTGCATACTTTATGCCTGGATATTTCTTTTTTCATAGGTTTTGTATTTTAGTTTGGCCACGGTTCAATGTTACAACATCAAACTACGTTGTTTTTCTTTTTTAATCCAAGGGCACTCAATGCACAAGATATTGGACCCGATTTCTGGGTCAGTCCGTATTGGAAACGACTATCCTATATTTAGATTTCGCTCTTCTTTTTTTTCAATGCATCCCACATTGAACTACAAGTAAAATAAAAAGAAATTAAAAACTTAGGACAGTTTTTATTTCTAACACGAGATCGTTCTTTACTTCCACTTTTTTATATTTATAACATCAACATCCCTATTGTGGTAAGCCTTTTTGCTAATTATATGTTATACCTGTAACATCGACTTCCATATCATTGCAATATAAATTTAAAAAAAAAAGAACAAAGAAAGGAGATATAATAAGAGACTATCTGATGTTAGAGATATGGGAATACCCAGTGTTCGTAAAATCGAATCAGAATGGTTAACCGGACATGATCCTAGAGGCGGTTTAACCGGCCTAACCGGTAAACTGGCCGATTCAACCGCTCTAACCGGGCATGTCTCGGGGCAGTCAAAAAATTGTTGAAAAAAAATAAAAATATAAATATAAATTCTTTTTTACTAAAATATGAAAAGCATATAAAGAATGATTAAAACAAAGCACATTCAAATGAAGTTAAAAATTAATGAAAAAAATGTATTGTAACCCATTTTATATTTTTCAAGGGCTATTTTTAAAAAATTTTCAAAACGATGGGAAAATATAAAAGTGAGTAATGATGACCAAAATAATTTTTAATATTTACCATAATGTAAAGAATATTAAAAAATGCATTATAAATCAAATTCCTTATTTTTGAATACATAAATAAATATATATATATATATATATATTATTTTTATTTTTTTTATTTTTTAAATGCCGGTTGATCAACCTAACCAAAACCGGAACCAGCCACTGGGTGGTTAGCGGTTAGATCGGGCGATTTTACGAACAATGGGAATACCCGATTTTTTTAGAGCCAAGGGATTAAATGGAAGTGTGCCCCCACGGGAGCACAAAATCTTTCGCCGTTTTGAAATAGCAATTAGGTTCTCAATAAAGGGAAAATTTAATATAGGGCCAAGGCTCTAAAGAATCAAATTAGATCCTACCTTAAAAATTTTATTAGAAGAGGTTGTTTTGATGCTCAAATTCCTTCAAATTAATCATCTCGATATTGAGATGCATGAAATTAAGAGAAAATATTGCATCTTTTAACGCATTTTTGGACCGCCAATTTTTAAGTTATTCAAGTTTTCCTAGATCTACTCGATCTATATTATTTTTTAGGTTTTAAATTTTATAATTAAAGATGAAAAAGATTTCTAGTATTGAAACCATATTTCTCGCCACTATTTGAAGGTGGGCTCTAATTTGATTGTTTAGAGCCTCGGCTCTATACAAACTGCACGGGATTAAAACCAGCTTGTGGTTATTTCGTGGCGTGGATATTGATGATGAGGGATTGAAAGTACATTAGTGGGTTTTGTAGCAGTGCTATAAGAATCAAATCAATCCACAAGTTTTTCCAAACAATGAGTCAAATCCAATCAAAATCATTATGACTAATTAATCTAGTTAGACTAGATTTCAAAAATATATAAAAATAATAGTTCAAGAGCATAAAATATAGGAAAAAGTTTATATTGAGCCGAGGCTCTAAACAATCAAATTAGATCCCACCTCAAAAATTTCAGTAGAAGATGTTGTTCCGATGAGATGCATGGCCATGAGAAAAAAAAATGGATTTCAAGTTTTGGACATAGCGCATCTTGCAACGCATTTTTGGACCGTCAATTTTCAAGTTTTCATAGATCTACTCGATCCAGACTATTTTTTAAGCTTTAAATTTTATAATTAAAGATGAAAATATCTTTTAAGACTATCACAAAGATTTCCAGTATTGCAACCACATTTCTCGACACTATTTGAAGGTGTGCTTTAGTTTAATTGTTTAGAGCCTCAACTCTATACAAACTGCTCCCTAAAATGTATATCCCCAACTTTATTTAGTCGACCTTATTAATCAAACACTTATCAAACTAGCCAATATTAGTTAAATATGTTCGGATATGGATATCTCGGGTTCATATTGATATACATTATTATGGTTGTATGGGTATATATCTCTTGATAAGATTAGGTATCTAGAAGATAAAAAGAGACAAGTCAAAGTTATTTAGTCGTCAAGTTAGTTTGGTGATGAGGCCCCCTACTATTTATTTCTATATCCAAGAATCATATCGTATTTATCTCTTTTAATTGTGTGATTGTCCTTTATATATAGATATACTTCTTGATGTAAACATTCATCCAAAATAGTGAAGATGTAGCTCGTTGGGCTTTAGATCCATGGACGTAAGAGTTTGGATGAACCACGTAAATGTTGTGTTTTTTATTCTTCTCTCTCCATTCTCCATTCAATGTCTCTGCATGTATACTCCCACGAATCATTCTTCATTCAATGTATATGCATGTATGCTCTCACGAATTCTAAGATGACATCAAAGCAAATCTGCATGCCTCTCCTTAATCGAAGGACAAGGTGAAGGGTCGACTTCTTTTTTATCAGCCAAGGTGTAGCTATCCTCGAGCTTCCATTCACTCGTTCCCCAATAGAAAGCCCACCCACTATCAATCACTTAATTCATAGCCCTAATTGTCTCTTCAATAGGGGTTTGAGAAGTAATCAAATGTTTTCGAGGACATCAAATTCGAAGAAGTAACTTCAGTGCCATTGTTATTGCTACCATACTTGCTTTGTGTCTTTAACGAGAAATATATGACGTCGAATAAGAGGAGTTTGGCTTCAAAGTATTGGAGGTGGGGGAGCACACGTATTTGGGGTTGAAATTTAGCAGAGAGTTTTACTTTCTGGCAATGGAGTTGGAGATTGGTTTTTGCCTCCGATGATTTTGGGTTTTGTTATTGATTGGATGTAACTCAAATTTAGGGTTCATATTTTGATAGAGATTGATTTATTTAGGGATAGATTTGGAGTTGGGTTTTCTCGTTATTGGCTTTTGGGTGTAAAAGGTGGGCTTTTGGGCAGAATTTGAAAGTGGGTTTTGCGTATCGATCAATTTTGCGATGGACTCGAGAGAAGTTAGTAGCTCTGGAATCCTTAAAATAATATTGGAGATGGTTTTGGTATAGAGATTGATTTAGTGCACGATTGCTTGGATCTGAACTTGCTAAAAATGACGGTGTTTCAAAGGTTTCGGATTTTCTTTTGATTTTTGTTGGCTCTTCCAAGTGCCTCATGTTTGATGATCGAATCTTTCGATCCTGGTTGATGAATAAGTTTTTC